CTCTCTGTGTGTGTGTGTGTGTCTGCTTTTTTGCGAAAGATATTGCTGGACCTAAGATCCTTCGTTTTCCTCCCTTCAATTGCTATAACTATCACGAATAGATCACCTCCAAAATCACCCGAAATGAACCAGCAACATTCGTGTGCAAAAACATTCAAAAACGGAGCATTTACTCAGTCTGATACGTGAATATTTAACATCCACCAATATTTCGCAAATACTTGACTACCTTCAGCCCCAACAATGATTGATTAGTATGTAGCTTACGCAGAAGTATGAAAAAGTGATACGGCGTAGTTTTGCAGCAATAAGGAGTAAATATCGACCTGGCACTGTTAACGTATTACCCCCCTGCATTATTTGTTGTCAGGTTTATGTCTAATTAAATGTGAGCTGACAGCACTTCGATATCAAGCAAGTGTTGAGACTAGAATACACGTAGAGGTCTTGTTTCCACAGTAATTACACAACATGTTAAGCGGTACGCAATTATTGTCGGGATGCTGGGTTGGAACATATTGCACATTTTGCCACATGTTTCTGCATACGGCAACCATGGCGCTGAGAGAGCAGCAAAACTAGAAGTGGTCAGTATATATGTAAGATATAACTGCCTTCATGTGTACCACTCGAAGGACAGCTTGTTTCGGTCACTAAAGTCGTCATGATTTTCATCACCTGGCGTGTGCAAGCCAAAAACGGTAGGTCGCTGATATAGGTATATATACACATATGTATGTGTATATAAATATATGTGTGCATATATATATATATATGTATGTGTATGTATGTATGTATGCATGCATGCATGCATGTATGCATGTATGTATGTACGTTATTTCAAAAGCTGAAAACAGGATAACCTCCGGGCAACAAGAAGCCCGAGCCCCCCACGGCGGAGGCAATGAGTCGGCAGAGTCTCCTCTGAGCCTCTTGGCATACAGGAGACAGAACAGCTCAGGGTCTAGGGTTTAGGGTTTAGGGTTTAGGGTTTAAAGTTTAGGGTTTAGGGTCTATAATAGACCGGTGCCAGTTATACAATATCTACAATAGCCAACAGCTATAACACGGCTGATGATGTAAATCCTGCATTATCCATAACCAGGAAAAACATAACTCCCATAGCTTAGGGTCCTTAAGGTGATGCAGGATGTATATGATCAACAGTATTTCGAACAAGTTACATAACGTATCTATTATCCGGTAAATGCAGGATATATGTTATGGTTATAGTATAGACATAGGAGGGCCCTCTCTTTTAATATGTACATATAGATAATATATGCAGGTATGTAAAGATAGGTATAATGCAAATACATAAGGCGCTTCAAGTTATAGACTGGAGGGGCAGCACGAAACAAGACGGAAGAGAGAGAGAGAGAGACAGGGAAGCATCAGGGATTTTGGGCCTTTGCAAAAAAACCAAACCATGCAAGGGTAAGGGCTGAAGTAGATGGGAGGACAGATCCAAACTTGAGAGTCCTTTAATGTAGTTGAGAATCCACAAGTTTGCAGGGGTTTCCAGGGTGTTCAGTGTCTTAGGGGTGTCTAACTATTAAAGCTCCTTTTGTCTAAAGGGGTCTTCGTAATACAGACCCTTCTACTCAAGGATCTAAATTAGCAGTGAGCCTCTTCTCTGAAACTCCCAAAGGCCAAACTCCCAAAACCCGAAGCCCCAAACCCTAAACTCCAAGGCCCCTCTGCTGTAAGACCAAAAGACCTCTAAGGTCTTCGGCTGCAGCGACGCAAGGAGCAGGAGGATCTGTTGGATGAGGCCTCGGAGGGTTCTCCACGCCAGGGGTGGTTGGGAACCTTTTGGGTTTAGGGTTTATAGGGTTTAGGGTTTATAGGGTTTAGGGTTTTGGCTCTGCTTGGGGATTGGGGATCTATGTGCACCTAGGCCTATACCCTAAGAGGCCCAGGATGATGATGGGAGGTGCGGGGCTGCAAAATTTCCTGATGGACCAACTCAGCAAAGAGGCTGTCTGGTGCAGGTTGGCAAGATCCCGTCTTCTCCAGCAGAGCCTCCGGGCGTAAAGAAGATCATCGAAGAGCGATGGATTTCTTTGCATATCTTTCGGATGTAGTGTTTCAGAGTTATAAGGCTTCGGTTTATTAGAGAAGGTGTGTGGCGTTGCTTCAGGCGCTTCGGTTGAGAAGGCTGCCAGTTGCAGCAGCTGCGCCAAAAGTCCGAAACCAAGTGCTGAGAAATCTCGTTGTTGAGCTCAAAACTCTTGTTTCCGGCTTTGGCACTGTGGCAGCGCAAAACAAGAAAGACTGACCAATTGACAGAAACAGAGCTAGAAACTGCACGTATCTTTTTCTTTCTGCACGCAACACAGCGGAGTTAAGTCCAAAGAGGACAACCACGCCTGAACACGCCTTCTACGAAAAGCCTAAATGCTTTGCTTCATGAACAACACTGCGCAGCATCAAAGACCACCTCACTCATCAAAGCATGTCCATTAGTACTATTAGTACAAGCCATAAGCTGCTCTACATGCTTCGGGTCCGCAAATCTTGGGAGCACGGAGGTAAGACTCGAAGGTTTCAATGAAGGCAACCAGGGATCTTGACTTGGTTTACCGGACTAGAGACTAGGGTTTGCAGAGACACCTGTGGACTAAGGTCAGAGAGCAGGTGCCGAATAGGCTCCGAAACCCAGGAATAAACGATCTGCCTCTAAACACTTCGCGCATCGCTTCAAAGCTGGTTCAGTCTCGGTGGTGAACTTCTACAAGACAAAGCCGGTGAAAATCCTTGCGCACACCTCCTAAAACCAGACAACAGTCCGATCAAAAAACTTGCCATCAACCACATGGAAACCTCTACTTATGTCCCACCATGCCTTAGGTTTTTTCCTACGGTACTGTGGCGACGGAATTTCGCGCAGATTCGGGGTTCGATTGCCTCCGCGAACTCGGTAGCTGCGCGACTGCCTGGTCTGTTGGGTGACACTTGCAGGCAAGAAGCTTTGGATTCGTGGTTGGTGATTTTGGACTTCGGATTTGGGCTTAATTAAATAAATTCAAAACTTAGACCACAGCTTAGCTAAATTATGTTTGGTGACCACCAATCGTTATGTGCATCTACCCCTTGCTGCCTAGCATCAAGTGGTATTCTCACTGCTGTTCCTGCCTGCACACCCCTCCCCCGCAGCCCTGGACCTTTCTCCCACCTGAATTTAAATGCCATTGGCTGTTCTTCTTCGTCCTGTCCTGTCTCCTTAGTTCGCTAGATCCATGGAAAAAAGAACTAGTGAACCGTGATCATTGCTGTTACTGCTACTGTAAGCCCTGGTACGGTCCGGTTTCACTTTAGGTTGTGGTGCTGCTTTCGCTGGCGCTACTGTGAAGAGTTCATGAAGAACGGATCAGGAAGATGATTGTACAGCGCTCTGTTTCTTGAAGCTTTCCTGAGTGCCTGCTTGCAAGACGATGGCTAGTAAGTCTGGGAGCCTTCATATCTACGTTGGCACTAAGCCACCCCAAAATTTGAACACTAAGCCTCTAAGTCTCAGGCTCAGGACTGTGCATTTCGGGCTTCGCGCACATCGCTCTTCGAGCCTTAATCCTTGAAGACCTGAACCCTAAACCCTGATTCAGGTTTTGGTTGTTCCCGAAGCTGTGGTTCACAGGAGAATGATCGCGCACAGGGCATGATCTAGGGCGGTTAGATTGGGTCGGGTAGGACTTGTTGCTGTCAGGGATTCACAGCGGTCTACGATTTTGGCTGCTGGCTCTTCATCCCAGTCGCCGAGTATGATTGCAAGCCCCGTTTCAATCCAACCCAACCCAACTCAACCAGGAATGCACACCTAAGCTCCAGCTCAACCATGAATCGCGCTGTAGATCCCCTTCTCACAGTCACGGCTTCATGAATAAACAGAGCCAGTTTAGCAGCAAATTCTCACGCTCGACCCAAAAGTCAAAGCCCAGGCCCAACCCACAAACCCTAAGCCCTAAGCCCTGTACCAGATGAGCCCTGAACCTCGGGGTCTGAACGGGCGGGCCTTCGGCCGCCTCCTCGGCATCGGCAGCGCGAAGCCTTTCGGGTTTAGGGTTTTGAAAAGGAGGTGTTTAGCTTCAGTGTTTAGTGTTTGGGGCTTTTTGGATCTAGGCCCAAGGCTTTAGGGGTTAAGGCTTCCGGGCTTCAGGGCTGTGGTTTTGCCTCCTGCATTCAAAACATCTGGAATGCAGGGCTTTGGGGTTTGTTGGCTCTGCGGACTATGTCGGCCCGAGTCTGGGTACTCAAAAGACAATCGGGATCCTCTGTCACGACAGGACCCGGCGCTTCCTTTTCCGTCGGTTCCAAGCCGATGCTCTCTTCAAGGTTGGTGTTCTGATGATAACTTTTCATGCTACTGTTCCCCAGAAACGACCAAGCCCCCTGCAACATAACGCCTATACAAGATACATCCCAAGCCTAATACAAGAAAGAACATTCCTCAACTTGCCGGCAAGGAAATAAACCCAGGCCAAAGGAAAAAAAAACAGCACAACACGAATCAGTTGGACAGGGGCTGGCAGCTTTTGCTGACCCCCGGCCTTTTTTGCAGAGGGTTTCGGGTCAAGAAGATGCGCTAACCGCATAACCGTAACCCCTGAACATCCGCGATATGACCCCAAGCCCTCAAAGCCTTACTTTCGAATATACCTGTAGCCCTAGACTCCTAGACCCGTCGAAACCCCTCGAATGCCCTGAACCCTCAAGCCGCTACACGCGGGAATACAGGGTCCTTGATATTGAGCGAAAGGGGATTCTGGGAATCCCCACTTATAACTACCCATGAACCTCCAAGTAGTAAGGAGCCCTCAAGAGTCCGGAATGGTACTGTTAATGGTCAATGAGGAACACTACTCCTCAGAACTCCTTACCGCGATTCCCAAAATACCCCTCCATTCCGACTGCTCTTTTGACCTACTTGTCCAATATCCTAGGGGGACTATTAAAGGTTAAGCTTCAAGCTAGTATGGGGATTATGATTCCCCCAAACGGTTAAAGAGGTTACCTACTCTAATACTCTACTAAACTACTTACTACGAAGTTGAAGCCCCCAAGGGCTCTTTGTCCGAGTCACCTGGCCGCAGCGGCTGCGAGAAGCGGAGAGCTAGCCAAGTCATTGAGCAGACCTCGTCCTATCTATGATCCTAAGCTCTATATTTCGGGCCCTAAACCCCAAACCCAAACTCTACTTTCTACAGAATATGGATGCGTATTTATTGGGGTTCGGGTCCCTTTAGGGTCAATTGGGGTCTGTGAACTTTGGATTTAGGGCTCAAGGTGGGAGTTTGAGTATTGGAAAGGCTTTGGATGCTGCATCAACAACACAGTGCGCAGGGCTTGCGCTCAAGCCGGACTGACCTGAAGGCAACTGGTTTGTTCTCGATACCATCCGGTTTCAGCCCCCGAAACACAACAGGCCGAACAGAAAGAAACAGTAACTTGTTGCAGAACCGCAGGTCAGAGGAAGCTTCTAGCACAGTACGGAGAATCAGGGCCGGACTTGGCGAAAGCTCCGGAATACCAGAAGCTGCCTAGAGGTCTACGTCGCCGAGTTACACCGGCCTGTTCGGCTTAGGCTTCAGGGATGCCAATGCTACTGAGTGTTAAGGGTTTAGGGCTTAGGGCTTAGGGTTTAGGGTTTAGGGAGTGAAGCATTATTCTCGGTAGTCGCAGATAGACTGTGGGGTGCGCGGCAACAGTGTTACAGCTCCTATATTTTGCCCAACCGTCACAAGCAAATTTCTAGCCCATTGACTCCCAATCCTGGATCGCGAACCCGAACCCCCACCGAAGCACCAGACAACACTACAAAGTTGCCCAAGGCCCGATAAGTCCGTGAAGATTGTCCACAACACATGTCATGCAACAGCACATGCGAACACCTTAGCAAAGCTGTCATTAAACGACACGAGAACTACCCTTCATTTTGCCACTCTGCCTGCACGAATACTCTCGACAGTGCATCGCTAATCGTTTCAAAGCCACAAAACCGTATCCGAAACTCCGAAGAACCCAAAAACCCAAACCTTTTCCGATGCCCCAAAAAGAAACGAAAGAAGCGCCAGTCGCTACGTCCAAGTCGCCGGCATCAGACTCGCAGATGCCGAGCCAACTAGTGGCCGCGCGGAGGCTTCTGCCAAGCATAACACGACAAGGAGGGAAAGAAACCGACATCAAGAATGACCAGAAGGCACGAATCCGTACATTGAGTTATGCCGATTACGTGGCCCAATATCATCTTCGCTGCCCTTCCTTACCGCGGCGGCGACTTTGTAGATAGTGACCGCTTACCCCGTTGTCGGGACTCTCGTTCTCACTGTCACAGCTCGCAGTGGCGATGATGCGGTAGAAATAAACCCACGGATAAAAGCTGCAGCAGTAGTAGGGCCATGCCACCACAGTACATGCCTGCAGCCCTGTAGACGGGAACAACAAGCTCACAGAATCAACAGAATATCTAACACTTCTCGCCGATGCCGTCATGAGGTCACGATGTACAGCAGCCAAGTCAATACCGTTAAAGAGTCTCGACCTGCAGCAAAGCCGGGCATAGCAGTCTGCAGAGATGCCTTTCGGATGACAGAGCGGCGATTGCCCGCACCGCTGCTGGCGCCGCCGTGGAGAGTGCTAGGAGCCTCGTGGCACCCGCTGCCCAACAATCAAACAGTCTCAAACCTTATAGCGACAAACTCGAAATCCTGAAGACCTTATGCTTCATCTCGAGACCTTATGGTTTGCGGTCTGCCCATCCGAAAACCCCGAAAGCGTACAGCAAACCCGATTGGAAGGTTTAGGGGTGGCATTCCACGAGGAACTGAGGACAAGCATATGAGCAGGACCGATCCCTCGACCAGTCGACACTACACAGGGCAAACCAAAACCAGAAATCGCTCCAGATGTGTTCCTCCTTGCCGAAGGTACGTGGTAGGACGGGTGGCGTCGATCTTGGTCTCCTTGGCATTTGCTTCCTGCAAGGACTGTAGGATGCAGCGCAGGGTTCCATGAGATGCTCACCTCACTGATACAAGACATGTATTTAGACTTATTTTTAGGACTTCATTCAACCATGTTGTCGTTTGAGGACCTACGCGCCGAAACCGACAATCGAAAAACCTACCATTCTCCAGATCCCAAACTGATCTCCAAGCCCTCAAACCCAGATCCTAAACCTGGAATCCGAATGCACCTTGGGTTCCAAGATACCCCCTAAACCCCCAAGACCTGCCAGTAGTGCCCTCAGTAGTGCCCTTGACGACCGATGTAAGCTACAAAAACCAATGGAAGGGTTGCGGAGCCTCAGGGAGGGCTTCCAGCGCTATCCTCGGACCGCTCCGGGTGTCGGCGGATGTCTGATTCAATGTTGAGCCCTGAAAATCAACCCCTTTCAGAAACAATCTGAATGAGGATTAATTATGGCAGCAAGAACTTCAAAGGCCCTGACTGAAGGAAGGGAGTTCTCAATCAGGAGTTCAGTTTACTGTTCTTTGATGCTCGCGGGAAAAAACATTGCAACCGGATTGAACCCTGTTGACACTAGACCACAGCACGCTTGCTGCTAAGCCCCAGCCCCAGTTCATTCAAACAACTACACTCCACAAATCGTCTGCTTCAACACTAGCCTGCCACCCCAATTGGCAACAAAAAATGCATGTATATTATTATACTACTACTACTACTACTACTACTACTACTACTACTACTACTCCTACTACTACTACGACGACGACGACTACGACTACCACTACGACCTCCTACTACGGCTACTATTACTACTACTACTACTACTACTACTACTACTACTACTACTACTCCTGCTACTACTACTACTCCTACTCCTACTCCTACTCCTACTCCTACTCCTACTCCTACTACTACTACTACTACTACTACTACTACTACTAATGCTGCTACTACGCACCGGGCTCACTGGGCGCCCGTTGCCAAAAGCAA